TTGTTGTGCTGGTTTCGGTTGCATTGTTGTCGTGAGGGTTTGGCGTGCGTACGCTTTGCGCTATGAAGTCCTCATCGAGGACGATCCATTGATATATTGATGTCTTGGTCGTAAGAAGACGTTGTCGCTTCCTACGACAGGCCCTGAAAATATTGATAACTCTATGATAACACAGTTGTGATGCCAAGACTTAATAGTTATCATGTAGAATCGTCTACAAAATGCTGGGGATACATATTGTGTCATGTAAGCGTAGTCATCAACGCTTCGAATGTATACGTTGACTGGTGAGTGACTGAATTTAGTTTACACGCCCGCACTCAGCAATATTCCAACTATACTCTGTAAAATAATGGAATCTGGACCAGACAATCAATGATCAACATCAGCGAATCGACCTGCGCAATTGGGATACATTGACAGATCTCAACAAGAGTCAGCCGAATCTGACCATCCGATCCCGTAATAAAGTCGCCTCTTCTGCAAGCATAGGTTACTGAACCAAACTGGATCGAATTCTAATCCGGATCTTCTTAGAGGAAGATGGTGTAATCAGGGGATACAGGCTATGAGTGTTAGAATCCTGATACTGAGATTTGAATCCTAGATGGCCAGGGTAGTAGCAAAGCCATTTTTCATGTAATGGCCGATAGGTTGCAATTCTTTGTATTTAGATGATAGTATTGAGGGCTTGGCATTAATTCACATACATGTCGATGGAAAAACAATCAATCGTCACTGAAAAGAATTGAGGTGAAAGTGGGTTTAACATCGTGCTTGAGAATATTTCGCTCATATGACGACGTGCAAGCGTGTGTATGTGTATGTGTATGTGCGGCTGCTTGTACTGGCCCAGACTGAAGCTGGTTTTATAGTGCTAGCTCACTGAGATGCCATGCCGCAGTGAGCATGAATACTACTCAGACACATTATACTGACTCGAGCCGACCAGTCCTCGTTGTACCCATTAATGCCGAGGCGCCAGGCAGGGACCAACAAAGTACCATATTTTAACATCTTTGGTATGACGCGGTCGGGAAAGAAAGACACCTTTCAAATGTATGATGTGTGGGAATGACATGTTTGCTTTACATGGTGACTGTATTAGTGATGCTTTGTTATCAAAGAATTAATTGTAGTCAATATGATTCATAGTGGGGTTCTACCGTATTAAATGGTTCACCGATGGCGATGTTTGGCAGGTATTTTGGCGAGGAATTAGAAACAAAATGTTTCGGCAAAAGAAATAGTATTGTAAGCCCGGGCTTTTATATATAATGGTAGCTGCGCGTATAATGGTAATGGTAAAATGATTCTTCATGCTCATTGGAGGATTCACGAAAGTCAGGAATTATTGACGTAAACCCTTTGATACAATTTAAAGGCCGGAGTGCAACTATAAAAAATCCCATGGGTTTCAAAATTAGTCTCTTCAGCAGTGTAGAGTGCCCATGGTGACAGGACTGTACCGGCTATGGGTGCCTGGCGATGTCGAGTTAGAAAGCTTGGAATTTACTACTAGGATGAAACGTAATGATACAACAGTGATTGTCAACAACCCTTTCACTACACATTTTGAAAAACTTAACTAGAATTGTCAAAGTGTTGGTATGGATAAAAATAACTGCTATACAAATATCACCCCTCGGTGTGAGAATATAGATGTTCTGATGTCGGCCTTAAATCAGTGTACAGCCCTGCACAGCGAAGGGGTCAGAGGGATTTGGGAGGGTCATTATTATCACTGCCTGGGAAAAATATGAAGCAATGTAACACTGAATGAACAGTTTCCCCTCCAGCAGACTTGTTTGCTTTGGAAACGCAACTTCTTTGACCACTTCGGTGATACGGTGAGGAAATTCAAAGCTGGTTCATTTCAACGGAAATATGTTTTCAAAATGTATCTTTTGTAAACTGTCTGCATCAATACCACTTTGCGAGAGTCTTCATAACATGCTTCTTTAAACTATGGCTTAGACCCGTAGAAGATCCGTGTTAGAATTGGTCTTCAGCACCCATGCTTGTCGTAAGGAGGCGACTAACAGGATCGGGTGGTCAGGCTCGCTGGCATGGTTGACACATGTCATCGGTTCCCAATTGCGTAGAACGACGCTCATGCTGTTGATCACTGGATTGTCTGGTCCAGACTCGATTGTTACAGACCGCTGCCATATAGCTGGAATATTGCTACGAGTGCGGCGTTAACAACAATCAATCAATCAATCAATATACTATAAGCTTAATTTACCTCATGAACCGGTAAAGTCGATTTTGGAATGTAAATTATGTTGTCGTATACTTGTATAATGAATGACATTGCAAAATAATCTCAACCTCGTCTCATACAAGGATCATATTCAAACGATCTGGAGTTCGAACCCATGACTACAAATAATATTTTAATTTATTTGAATGTGTGATGATGAAGATACTCACGCTTTTCAAACTTTGTCGTTTCTCGGAGTCGTGGCGGAACGCTGCGTTGACAAAACGGCTGGGGCGAGACACCTGTATTGCGATACACACGTAGCTCCTGGGGGTCTGTTGAAGCCCTACCCTGACTATCTCAGATCCTGGGCGAGGGCGAGGGTCGTTCTGGGGGAGTCAGTTAAGTCCTCCACTGACCCATACACCATACGAGTCCAGTGGGGTGTCCCCAGAGTGATGTGGCGTTCTGGACATGGTCGACTGGAGTAGAGAACACCATTGTGTTAGAACAGTACAGGACCTAGGTAGCCTAGTGGTTAAAGTGTTCGTTCTGTTCGGTGTCCCAGGTTCGATTCTCCACATGGGTACAGTGTGAAGCCCATGGTTGGTGACCCTGCCGTGATGTTTCTGGGATATTGCTAAAAGCAGCGTAAAAACTATACTCACTCGATTCACATCGAATCACACATGTAAAGGCACATTCTGGTCTCTCCTGAAGTAGAATTTGGCGTAAACCATATTCAGTTACCAGTAGACTATACTCTATATGGTCAAACAACGTGTTCACAGAACGTGTAAAATGACTGACTGACTGACTGAGTTTGGTTTTACGCCGCTTTTAGCAATATTCCAGCAACATCACGGCCGGGGACATCAGAATGGGCTTCACACAAGTCACAAGACTTTGCTTTTGTGAACCTTCTTATGAGTATGGGGGCGGTGGGGTAGTCTAGTGGTTAAAGCGTTGGCTCGTCACGCCGAAGACCCGGTTTCGAATCCCCCACATGGGTACAATGAGTGAAGCCCATTTCTGGTGTCCCCGTCGTGATATTGCTGGAATATTGCTAAAAGCGGCGTAAAACCAAACTCAGTCAGTCAGTCAGTCTTATGATTATGGAAGACTCTTGTCTCTAATTCAGGATTTTATGGTTTCCAAAGCTCCTGACCATACAGTGGCGCGGCATTCTTCATTTCCGCGGTCTTCAAAAACATAAAACATCCTATTCAAACCTACCGTTTGCAGGTCGTAAAAAGCCAGTTAATCACAACACATGCATCCATGTCTGACGTGGGGATACTTACATGGACCCAGGTGTCGTGTGACGTCAGTAAATCACATACAGCCCTGTCTGACGTGGGGATACTTACATGGACCCAGGTGTCGTGTGAAGCCAGTAAATCACAACACATACAGCCCTGTCTGACGTGGGGATACTTACACGCACCTAGGTGTCGTGTGAAGCCAGTAAATCACAACCACATACAGCCCTGTCTGACGTGGGGATACTTACATGGACCTAGGTGTAGTGTGAAGCCAGTAAATCACAACACATACAGGCCTGTCTGACACGAGGATACTTACATTGACCCAGGTGTCGTGTAGTCAGTAAATCACATACAGCCCTGTCTGACATGGGGATACTTACATTGACCCAGGTGTCGTGTGAAGCCAGTAAATCACAACACGTACAGCCCTGTCTGACGTGTGGATACTTACATGGACCCAGGTGTCGTGTGAAGCCAGTAAATCACAACACGTACAGCCCTGTCTGACGTGGGTATACTTACATGCACCTAGGTGTCGTGTGTAGTCAGTAAATCACATACAGCCCTGTCTGACATGGGGATACTTACACTGACCCAGGTGTCGTGTGAAGCCAGTAAATCACAACACGTACAGCCCTGTCTGACGTGTGGATACTTACACTGACCCAGGTGTCGTGTGAAGCCAGTAAATCACAACACGTACAGCCCTGTCTGACGTGGGTATACTTATGCACCTATACAGGTGGCAGTGTGTAGTCAGTAAATCACATACAGCCCTGTCTGACATGGGGATACTTACACTGACCCAGGTGTCGTGTGAAGCCAGTAAATCACAACACGTACAGCCCTGTCTGACGTGTGGATACTTACATGGACCTAGGTTTAGTGTGAAGCCAGTAAATCACAACGCGTACAGCCCTGTCTGACGTGGGGATACTTACATGGATCTAGGTGTCGTGTAGTCAGTAAATCACATGCATCCATGTCTGACGTGGGGATACTTACATGGACCCAGGTGTCGTGTGAAGCCAGTAAATCACAACACATACAGCCCTGTCTGACGTGGGGATACGTACATGCACCCAGGTGTCGTGTAGTCAGTAAATCACATACAGCCCTGTCTGACGTGGGGATACTTACATGGACCTAGGTGTCGTGTGGAGCCAGTAAATCACATACATCCCTGTCTGACGTGGGGATACTTACACTGACCCAGGTGTCGTGTGAAGCCAGTAAATCACAACACGTACAGCCCTGTCTGACATGGGGATACTTACATGGACCCAGGTGTCGTGTGACGTCTGTAAATCACAACACGTACAGCCCTGTCTGACGTGGGGATACATACATGCACCTAGGTGTCGTGTAGTCAGTAAATCACATACAGCCCTGTCTGACGTGGGGATACTTACATTGACCCAGGTGTCGTGTAGTCAGTAAATCACATACAGCCCTGTCTGACGTGGGGATACTTACATGGACCTAGGTGTCGTGTGAAGCCAGTAAATCATACATACATCCCCTGTCCGACTGACTGACTGACTGAGTTTGGTTTTACGCCGCTTTTAGAAATATTCCAGCAACATCACCGCGGGGACACACCAGAAATGGACTTCACACATTGTGTCCATGTGAGGATTCGAACCCTAGGTCTTCGGCGTGACGAGCCAACGCTTTAACCATTAGGCTACCCCCACCGCCCCTCCCTGTCTGACGTGTGTGGATACTTATGTCACAGGCTAATATCTGTCACTAACACTGCACCATACTTTCCAGCACTCTCACTGATGTTGGTGTAAAAAACAGCCCACCTTACTTCGTGGTCTGACTGGAACATCCTGGGCTTTGGCACATGCAGTCCCTGCAAATGTTGCAGAGGCAGGTCACATGACTGCTCTCTATAAAAACTACATGTGTCAGAGGCCCAGCACACACCATGTCAGGCAGCAACTTAACATGTTGTTGTGACCCACAGGTATGTTGTGAATTTGGAATGTTATGAATTTCGAATGATTGTTTTAATTAGTTATGCAAAAGGTATTTATTTCTCAGGTAAGAAGTATATTCAACATAATATTTAACAATGTTATGGGGAAATTGCCAGTGATAAAATTAATTGTTTCAAATACAATTAATTCCATAGAATATATTTTGAGTATTTAATGATTGATTAACATTTATATTATCTGTGTTATGACACACACCATGTCAGGCAGCAACTTAACATGTTGTTGTGACCCACAGGTTTCGTGCATACAATATCTATCATCAGCCAGAATTGACTTTGTAGTTCCTGCGACACTTACATGGACAAAAGTGTCGTGTGAAGCCAGTAAACCACAAGACATACAGCCCTGTCTGACGTGGGGATACTTACATGGACCTAGGTGTCGTGTGAAGCCAGTAAATCACAACACATACATCCCTGTCTGACGTGGGGATACTTACATGCCCCTAGGTGTCGTGTAGTCAGTAAATCACATACAGCCCTGTCTGACGTGTGGATACATACATAGACCCAGGTGTCGTGTGAAGCCAGTAAATCACATACATCCCTGTCTGACGTGTGGATACATACATGGACCCAGGTGTCGTCTGAAGCCAGTAAATCACGACACATACATCCCGTGTCTGACGTGTGGATATACTTACATGCACCTAGGTGCCGTGGGGATAACCAGGTGGAAATCACAACACATACATCCCCTGTCTGACGTGGGGATACTTACATGGACCCAGGTGTCGTGTGAAGCCAGTAAATCACAACACATACAGCCCTGTCTGGCGTGTGTCTTGCGTCTATGGACGTTCACAGATAACACGGTCATTCGTCGGGGTTGCCCTGAATAACTGTTTCACCGGGGAGACGGTGGTAGTCACTGCACCAACCTTGTTTATTTCTCCACTGATGAACGACGTTGAAGTTCTCTATATACAGCCTTCCATACTTATACAAAAACAAAAATATAAAGCACGGATGAGACTACCTCGATATTGAAAAGCTCGGCGGACCCTGGCCTTACCTTCTGTTTGCTAATCTATCAATCAAAATGTCTCTGCATATTCAGGGTATAGTAATGACTAGACGCTTAGGGGCTTCTACTAGTACTTAATATTCTCTTTAAACGCGTTAATTTCTGTGAGTATCCATTTTTTCTGAATTTAATAGCTTAATTAACTTTGTATTCGGCGTTAACCCCGCTCACTCATTAATGTAAGTAAGATCCGGGTTCGATTCCCCAAATGGGTACAATGTGCAAAGTCCATTTCTGGTGTCACCCACACTGATCTTGCTTGAATATTGCTTAAAGCGGCATAAAACCAGTCTCACTCACTCATGGAATATTTATTCCGCGTTAACCCAACTCACTCTCATTATTGCTCCTTATTATTGTAAGATGGTATTGGGGTTAACACCGCTTTCATTCACACCGCGACGTGACAGCGTGGTATGAGAGGAACGTCAGCCTCAGTGAACGTCACAGACGTCGACCATATAAAGGAGAATACGAACGAAAACAAAACTTTTGATATATTGTAAAGAATATTATAAAAGTCACATTCCGTGATTAAAATTAAACAAAAAGTTTATAAAAATAGCAATAAAAACACAAAAACGTACTCCGTATTTCCGCCTATTACGGAAACAATCCGACAGTTAATGAGCAGAGGGGTATCACGTGACATGACGTCATAAGTGCCTGTTGTTGATGGCTTCCTCTTTGATTTTACCTCACAACTTAACAGTGTCCATGGATTCTGAAGCAGTAAAAGATGTTCCTGATGTCATTTCTAAAATGGATGTTAGACCGTATCAGTACGATCCGAATTTTACATCTTGCAAGACAATCTTCCCCTGAAGATGAAGATTAGAAGAATCGCAAGCGAACGGAGGCACCGCTTGGAGGTCAAAATAAGTTTAAAAATAGACCATATCATTTAACATGATTACTTTTTGTCAGCAAAATGTCCTACAGTTCCAGCCAGCAAACTCACCCCTATAAATATATGACCAGTCACTAAGAATTATATTTTTAAAATGTGATTACAGTTCATTTTGTGTCAAATGGGTGACTGTAGGATGTCTGGGATTTAAAACAAAATAATTATGCTTCAGACGAGGGAAAATAAAAGTTATCTGCTTCAAAAATTACACTGGAAATATTTTATTTGAAACAAATTAGGGATCCTAGTTCATTAAAATTAATAACGTATCAGTCCTGAGTCTCGATACAAGATCCCAGCCTGGTCGAGCAGAGATAATATTCGCGACGCAGATAAGTTATTCCCGAAAACTGGTGAATTATAAAATACTAGTCAGGACAACGTATATTTCCCTATTGTTTGGTTATGGAAATAGTTATGGTGGTACTCGGTCATAACCTTGGAATGACATCCTGTCAGCCAATGAGAATACAGAACAACTTTCACGGCACACACTACCTGGACAAATAGCGAGTCTGATGCCGACGTGCGTAATTGGACAAAATGGAAAACAATGAAAGCAACAAGTACTTCATGATTTGCCGTTGTATTCGGCAATGTTTCGAGTTGACTGCATCATTTAGGTCTCCAAACCGAAAAGAACGTTATAGCGAAACATTTTCAAGCTCACGTGAAATCTCTTACTGATTTTTGATAATATATATCTCATATGTGTACCAGTCGAACTGCACCAGCTACAAAATGCCCTAGCAAATTTTGGTCATTCATTCTAATTTGTTAAAATTTATAATGATTGAATATATCCCGTAAATGCATAGTTTTTGTCAACTTATTATGACATTATGTTCTTCTTGATGACTCTTTGAATTCGAATAAAGTTCAACATAGATCATATACAAAAGCCATGGTCCCTATAGCTATATATACATAGTATGTATGATCTGCCTTTTAGTTGTTGGCGATCTATATGCCTGTTTTATATTGTATTGTCATCTTTACATGCAAGTTTTACATTCAAATCTGTGATACTCAAGCATTTTACTCGCCCATCGTCGACAGGTTGAACTCTTCAGAATGTTTTCATCTTTATTGTATAAATTGTTTTCGTCACGATATGGCTGAGATATTGCCAGTGTGACGGTATTAAATATTAACTCACTCACTCATATACCAAAGTACGCTTTACAGTTGCGGGAAATAATTTTCTTTATAATTGACTACCGCCGTTTTAGGCTAAGCGAAAAAGCTATGACTCTTACAATTAGGTAAGGAAATTAAGCAAATCTCGCTGTTTTGACAAATTACGAAATTCCAGTTACGGCGTTTTTCGGTGTATTTTTTAAACATGTAAATATCGGATTTTCACTGGGAGAATTGAATTGAAAATAAATAACATGTGAACGACGGCTATCTATTATCTTATCAAATCACATGTAATGTGTCTAAACGTCGCCGATAACCATAGTATCCTTTGGAACGTTTTTGGATGGTCAGCAAATATGAACGACGAAGTAAGCTTTCCACCATATTGGATAAAAACCCACGTGTATTTAAAACATGATCAGGGTCAAAGTAGGATTCGAATACTCGACAGTGAACTATTTACACGGGTAAGATCCGTGGAATCATGGCGCCTGAGACGACTCAAGCATCTATCATGGAAATGTTTATGTTCCTCCTCCATTAACATTTGAGTTATTTCGACTGGGATACGGTGTTTACAGTTCGTAGACGCGGTGGATTCGTAACCCAGACTGTTTCGTAGACCATGATTTCGTAGACGTGTATTAATAATTGAATAATAGTATATATTAAGTTTGATTTTTACTTAGAATGTGTATAACGAAGTTGTTATGCTTTGTTTTCAGTGATACGAAACTAAGGGCAGCTAAGGACAAGAAAATGTGATTGAAGAGTGAACGAATATTTTCCCGTATCTTGTCTAGACTTGTTTTACATGTATTTGTATATGTAGTGTTTGTGTTGTATTTTTTGTTTTCAGTGATACGAAAATATTGTTACTGTGTGACTTTGTGTGTAATAAAGATGAAGCGTCGTAAAATGTAAAAAGACAGACAACATTGCTATGGAAGAGTGATAATGTAATCTATTTATGATCAACAACAATTTTCACAACAGCACGTATCACAGTAGTAACACAGTATCACAGTCACTCAGTGACCATATGCCCATTTAGTTTGGACACCTCTCTCAGCAGCTGGGACACGGTAAGAGTTGTTGCTCGGAAATCGTCCCATAATCTAAAAAATGTATCCGACTTGGCACGCTGGCCAGCATGCTGCCATCTGTCCAACTGACCGTCTGTGAAGTCGAATCTGCAGGGGCAGCAGGTCAGCTTCTCGGAAGAGGAGGGGGAGCAGTCTGTAAAAAGGTAGGCAACGTCGCCCGGACAGCTGGTTTAAGCGCTTGTGCCAGCTTTCCAGGTCATTGTTCGTCCGGATGGCCGTCCCAAAAACGCACCAGTAATGGTCCACACAGAGATTCGGATCCATGTTGACTCATAATATTCACTGAGGGCGATCAGATTCGGTGTCACTGCTTGCTGTTTGACCTTCATAAATGCTGGCTCGATATGGGCTGAGTCTAGGAATTGCAAGCCCATAAGCTTTTTGATGAATCTAGAAAACAAATTATAAAAATGGGAGGCATAATACTAATGAAATGCAGATAATTTTTTAAACAAGATCATCTGAAAGAGTGTAAAAAGAAGCAAAAAAATATTCACCTGTGTGTTCCCACGTCCTCTTCGTAAGCCGTAGCCAGACCCAAGTTCTGCACCTTCCTATAAATCGCCTGATTCATATGGAAGGTGCAGCCCTTGACCTGGACGGCCGGAAAAACTCTTTGAAACCCTCTCCAGGTCGCCGCCTCAAAGTCCGTGACCATTTTTTCAACATCTGCGTTGTCCATTAGGTGGTTCACCGCGTTGTTGAAGACCTTGTTTAACAGATAATTACATCATTAATTGATGACAATGAACAAACTTTACAGCAAGTACAGTAATTAGTTTAGCTATTACTTAACAATTAGTTAACTACTTACGGCCACGTAGTCCTCTATCTGGCGCCGCGACATCAATGCAAACAAAAGGGAACTTGTTTCATCGCCGATCCGGAGACGAGGAAAGCATGGATGGACAGCAGCTGGTGAAAAGGGGGTGACACAACTCGGAATGTAGAATCTATGTACCAAGTCTTGGCCGTCTTTAAAGTATTTAATTGTTGCTCGCTTGCAAATATGAGATGACACTGTCCACCACCTGTCTTCATATCCGCTCTTAGGAAGTCTCTCGGTAGGAAGCGGGAGCAAATCTAAAGAAGAAAAACATTTGTGAAAATGTTAAATTTATTTAACATAATTTAAAATATACCGAATACTGAAAGCGAACACCATACATACCCCAAAATCCAAGTCTTTGGGTTCGCTTGGACGATCACCCTGGCGATGGTAATTAATTTTGCGGGCTGCTTGGCTCAGAGGGGGCAGGGAGGGGCATGGGCAGCTGGCTTCACTCTCTGCTTTGTAAATTTCCTCGGCCATCACTCCAGACGACTTGTAGTAAACGCTAGACTTGGCGACATCCCTGATCTAAAGAAATGAACAATTTCAAATTATTGCTGTAGTTGCTACAGATTTTATAATAATATTACATAATACAAACGTTACATATATTGATATGTTATGAATAAAACGACAAAATACCTTCATGTTGATGGTGGCCTTGGTCAGAAGTCCTGTCGTCGGCTCATGGTTGTGGTCGGCTTCTCCGCGGGTGAAAGTTTCACCTCTCTGTGAAACCGCGGCAGTGCACCGACCCTCCTTTTGCCGCACAGAGCACCACCAGTACACAGCATACCATCTTGACTTCTGTTAAAGAAAGAAACATATTTTAGTATATACATTTTAGTAGTCACATGTGTATACAAACGTCGTTCAAATGTAATCAAATACGTAGGACTCATTTCATTATTCATTACCTGGATGGTGTAGGAAAATCCTCTGTTGTCAACTAAAAGTGGTTTGCCACGCTTGCTGCCGGTCGGGAGAATAGTCCACTCGACTGGAAGCTGATGGTCGTCGGGCAGGGGTTGGGGGTCCGGGTCAGCAATAGAACTAAAATGATGAAATATCAAATTTAAAATTTACATTGAATTATATTAATGATTAATTATCTAACTGAAATGAAATAATAATGAATAACTCACTCCTCGAATACATCATCTGTTGCGTTGATGGTGGCGGCAGTGAGGTCGAATGATGAGTCCACGGGCGATGGAGGACATGTAGGGTTCGGCGACGATGCTGGAGAGAGAGGCAGGGTCGGGGACAGAGGAAGAGTCGGAGAAGGTGGAGACGGCGGGGGTAGAGAACATCTCTTACAGATGAAGTCCATCTGCAGGTGCCCTTTCGTCATCTGGCGGTAGGTTGCAATGTCTATCCCTGTGTCGCAAAGGCGATGCTGCCACTGATCGCAGCTGTCGCACTGGATGGCATGTTGTCTCGGACGCACCTTCTTGAGGTTTATATACCATAAGTGTGTGTACAGGTAAACTTTGTCGGCGGATTAGACAAAATTAGTCTACTCATCATAATTTGCCGACTGTTTTCATTGTTGTGGGAGGATTAACAGGTTTCACTGAGTTGTTGTGAATGTTAATTAGGAAGTGGTGAGTTGTTTTGATTGCGAAATACTCTGTGTGGGAGATGTAAGTGTTTTCTTAAGAAGTGTTTTCTGCTACTTCTCTGCTGGTCTGCGTAGTTGAACGTTGAATGACGATACTTACCTAATACATATCTTTTAATTTTACACAACTGAATTTAATATATTAGCGGCCTATGATTTGTGGGAATTTGTCGGACATGGACCATTGTGAAGCATATTTTATTATTTTATTATTTAAGGATATTTTCACCGCCGATCATACTTACCTGATATATTTTATTTATTTCACAAAATGCAAACACTTTTCGTCGACTTCTTCATCATTGAGGATGAACTTTTCCCATTTTAATAACGTCTACGAATCCGCCGCTCAATCCGTCTACGAATCCACCGGTATTTTGTCAACAGTAAACCGAAAATAATGAGATGAGATCTCTGATACTGAGACCAGATGACATCATTTCGTAAAAGCGGCGAAGTACGTTGCTATAATTATGAAAGTGAAAGCGAGTTCCACATTGCCAATGCTGCCCTGGACTCAGATACCTTTTCAAGAATATGTTATTAAATATAGTAAATAATGCTAGTGAAAACATGAAGATGGTGTGCTGAGTCCTACGAAGGCTAATGCAGCCACTTTTGAAGCATAAAAATTGTTGTTGTTTTTTTCTATTTGCTCGTTGTTTCTAATATTTTCTCGCTGCTTCAAGTTTCTGTCAAAAACTTGAAATTTCGAGTATTTACTCGTTACTTCAAGTATTTTCTCGTTACTTAAATTATATTTTCGTTACTTCGTTTATTATCTCATTGTTTCGAATAGTTTCTCGTTGTTTCAATTGTTTTACGTATTTTCTCGTTGATTCAAGTATCCTTCCCAAACTTGAAATTTCAAGTATTTTCAAATACTTGAAATAACGAGAAAATACTCGAAGCAACGAGAAAATACTCGAAGCGAAGCAAAGAGAATTGTAGCTGAAAAATTATTTTACGATACAAAAGTGGCAGCATAAGGCTTTCGGAGAGTCCTGGGTATCTATTGACAAACATGATATTATAAACGTATATTTGGATATGTTTTGAAAGGAATCAGTCTAAAATGGATTCAGGAGGTGGTTAAATATCGACAATGTCTCACAGTGTACTTTCAGAAAATGGAGATCCATTGAGGATTTCTCAAACAAATGTGAGTGTAATGATCTTTGAAAATCTCACATTTTTCTGATGTTTATGTTAGTAAATGTAGAACATCTTCTATCCATTTCAATTTTAGCTCATATACACATGGACAAAAGTATCGCCGCATCCAGTATTTTTCATGGGTTATAGCTAAAACGGCACCACAGCAGAACGGCACCAAATTTGTGTGGCGAAAACGGCAACCATATTGGCGAAAACGGCAAAGTATGACGTTGACTCATGTTTTATTTCATTTCATTATAACATTAGCAAGATTATATCAACATACGAGTCATTCTCAAAATCCGTGCATATTTATGTCAGATGTTTGTATCCGACAAACTTAAGTCAAAATCAAACCAAAGAAATTATGGTAACTAACTTATCACAATATTTTTCTACACTTTACAGTACTGTGCCGACAGTGATTGGAAGTGGCATCCCATAGCTGACAATCGGATTGCAGAATGTGTAGATAGTAAATACATCTACTGTGCCCACAGTGATTGGAAAGAGCATCCCAATTTAGCATGAAAACATCGCAACCTTTGATGTTTGAAGTACATTTACTCAACTGAAATCGCCCAGTGTCAAACTCAGTGTCAAAATGAAATTGTTTTTAAAACGCACAAATGCACCCTTTGTTTACCGTCGCCGAAATACCTTAGTTGTGCGTGCGACGTTAAATAAAGCAAATAACAACGGTGACCGGACAAAATCCACCCGGACAAAATCCACCCCAAAATTGCCACCCCGGACAAAATCCACCTCTTCTTAACAAAAAAATGGACAAAATCCACCCTTCTCAAATTGCTATTATTAAAAGTTTTAGTGTGTCCTGATCTTGACACGCAGCGAAGGAAAAGACACTCGAGGACTTTCTCAACGGCGTCGGCCGTTGTTTGCGTTGTTGAAATTTGGCAAGATGTTTAGTCATAGATATGTCTGAATGTGTGAAAATATATGCTGTTGTCATATTTATATATGTATTGATGCATGAATGATTAATAAATGTGAAATGTGAAAATGTGCAATTGTCATATTTATATATGCAAAAATGAGCTCACATATGTATTTTGTTTTTTTTTGTTATCGATTATGAATGACTGATATGAATAAAATTCATTTCTGTGACTAAACATGTCATTATTATTTTTTTCTTAGGGTGGAATTTATTAGGGGTGGATTTTGTCCGGGTGGATTTTGTCCTAGGTTGCAATTGTGGGGTGGATTTTGTCCAGGTGGATTTCGTCCTGGATTCAATAACAACAACCCATTGTTTGTTAGTGTTTTGGTTTTATGGGGATTTTTTTTCTTTTTGGGGTTTACATAACATAATAATTTTTCTGAATATACATAACATATATTATGCAAGCTTAATGATGTTTCATTTTTCATATTTTACCATTTTTATTAGACATTTCCTGAAATTGTGTCACTGTCGTTACGAAATTTGTAACATCATTTTGAAAAGAAAAAATCCAAAGATAATATTTATTTCATGTACATATATATTAAAATATCTAGTTTTACAATATAACATGGAGTTTTGAAATTGTATATTTATTGCTTATGAAAAAGACAAAAAAATTCAAATGCCACATCTGTGACATCAGCCACTGGAGTTGTGACACATGAACATTGAGTAAAATTGGGTGGTGTAAAGTAAATATAAAATATAGTTTCCTACTACTTTGTTACTGTAAAGTGTAGAAAAAATATTGTGATAAGTTAGTTACCATAATTTTTTTGCCTTACATTGAATATATACGTAGATTTGATAATTACTGTAAGCGGTTACTTTTAGAAATGAACTGTTGTACTGAGTTCGGAATATCACTAATAGTTGAGTTATTCAATGCGCCGTTACCGTATAAAGTAGTTTTCACATCGTATCCTTGAATATAAAAATACATCCTTGTTCTTAAATTTTGATAGTTCCGACATAATAGTAGATGTATTTATTATCTGCAATCCGATTATCTTATAACAAACTAGTTTTCCCCATAAGATTTTAGTTGGTGCCGTTTTCGCCATAAGATTTGTAGCCGTTTTCGCCAAGTCGAGGTTCCGTTATGTCCAAATGGTGCCGTTTTCGCCAGGTGCCGTTTTGCTGTGGTTCCGTTTTAGCCTGCACCCATTTTTCATAGTGTCAATATCTTACCATTAACCAAGGCAAAGAAATGTATCTAAACCACAATTCAACTTACTATCTCGATAAACTGACCCTCAATGATTAATTTACTCACTAAACATCATTCACTGACAAAAGCACGAAAACTGTAGTCTGGTCAGAGAGGCAAACGTGGCAAAATATTTTGTGGTGCTGATAACTATGGTCATTCGACGTTAACGAATCACTCGCTCATTTCTTTGCATCATGTATCATTGTCCTGTGGCCTTCAAGTATCACAACAAAGTTTAAGCCTGGAAGAATATGACGATTACTGGGAAGAACAGTCTAGTCCATGACAGACACAGGATGGGGATTACTGGTTTTTACGTTAAACATAACTGGATGTCCTGTTTCTTTTAAAAAATATGCAGTGAATGATCAAGCAAGCCATGACAATGTTTTGGTGTCATGATAGAAAACTAGACGCCATCTGAAAAAAATGAGGCTTTGTTTATCAGGAACCTTAGAAAATGACAGCAATGCTGAATCGTCTAATTGTGTGAATAACAATTTTTACAATACTCTTATGGAGATAGAAAGGGAACTACAGACCCACGGATCTAGAAA